ACTGTCTCAGTCACTAAATATACTTCAACCACCTTATTTTTAAGGAAGCTGTGAGGAATTCCATTGAGCAGATGGGAGGTGATTTATGTAATCATGCTTCTATTTGCAGACTTTTATCTTGGGCTCCAAGAGATCGCGCCGCAGCACTTACCCTCGAAACCAGGGGGACTAGAGAAGATGGGAGATTGGGAAATGGTTAAGTCACCGGACAAGGTTTTAAGCAGGCAGAGAAGGAGAAAAGAAGGTCAGTGAGGCTGCTGCCGGCGGAATGCAACGGGCCTAAAGGAATCGATTCGGGAGCAACGCGCGGCAGAGGACGGGTTGTACCCAAGCGCAAAGGGCACGGAATGGTGGAACCCGAAACCCACCCCAGGCCGGCTGCCGCGGCTGGCAGTCCAGGCTCAAAAGCTGGTGCGCCGCCGATCCTCACCAACAGAGGGCGCTAGGTCCGCAGCAGTTCGCAGTGGGCGGGTCCCAGCTGCCCGCCAGATGTGGACAGCTGGACCGCGGGAGAACTGAGCTCTACCCCAGCTGCGCAGACCCGCAGGCGAGGCGAGAGAGAAGAAGGGATGGCAGGGGTAAGGGTAGTGGCAGAGTACCCCACTGTAGGAGCTCCGCAGGCTCCTAGTTGCCTTCACTTGTGGATCAGAAAGGGGGAGCCTCCCGCCCAGAGGGGGCGCCGTTTTCTGATTCCCACAAAAGTGCGGAATGGGCTGTCAGGGGCCCTGGGGCTGAGCAAGACAGAGCCGGGTTCGGTTCACGGGGCGGGCCCGGGCCAGGAGAGACCCCGCGACCGTCTGCGGAGGGAAAGAGAGCCGGCCTTGAGGGCTTTGAGCCTCTCGAATACCCAGCCCTCGACTTCAGACGCTCCAACGTCCACACACACAGAGATCCTCTCCTGGGTGCGGAGTGCACTCCAGGAGAGAGAAACTGAGGCACAGCAGGACTGAACAGTTAGTAGAGCCGTCCTCTGCATGTTGTTTGAAGCGGAGAAATTGGGCTAAGAAGGCCTCAGCCTGAAGCTCCAATTACGGACCCTGGGCAGGGGACAACCCCAAGGAACCCGCCCTCTTGACCAGCCTGCTGTCCCCACCCCCGGCAGCTCCCCGGACTCCGGAGCAATCAGCTGCTGCGCGCTGTGGTAACTGGCGGTGCAGGCCTTGCTAGCAGAGGACCAGCGGGCGGCGCAGGGCAGCCGAGGGGCTTAACTGCAGGGCTTTCGGGTCGCAGTCTGGGCCGAAGCTCCGCTGGGGGGAAGGGAACGGACACTTAGCTCGGAGAGCCTATCTGCGGAGGTAGCCAAAAGACCTTCGGGTCGGTAGTAGGGACGCCTTCCCCGGAAACTGGGGGTTGGGGGACTTGAACCCCAGCGACAGTGGGAGAGGAGGAGCTGAACGTCCTCGGAGAGCTGGAGGGGGGGGGGCAGATTCCAAACTCCCCACCCCAACCTCAGAAGTCCTGGTTAGTCTTGTCCGAGTCTCCTCCCTCGTCCTGACCCCCCCACACCTCTTTCTGCCACCCCCGTCACCCCCCTTCTCGTATCCCTAGGGCGCTCCCACCCTGGGGAAGAATGTGCCCTACTAGCGCACCCTTGCCATGGTAACGGCACACCCCCACCCCCGCGCACCGCAGCGGCCAGGCCTGGCCCCAAGGGCTGCAAGAAAAGTGGGGGGGGAGCCTCCCAGCCCTGCGGACACACCTCGACTGCCCTGGTTGCCACAGCAACCGGGGGCGTTTCCAAGTGCGCAGCCGCGAAGTGGCGAAGGGCTCTGCTCTGCTCAAGATCCCTCACCCCTCTGATCCGCCAGCAGAGGACCCTGGTTCCTGCGGGAGACTGCCCTCCCCCAACTTCAAGGACAGAGTCCAGAGAGGGATCACGGGGTGTTACGGCTCCCACGGACTGCAAGCCTAGGGAGCAAAAGCAGCCGGAGAGCCTCAGGGAGCCTGGAACCAGAAAAGGGAAGGGACCCCCCTGTCGCCAGCCAGTCCTCCTCTCCCAGCAGAGCCCGAGGGGGGCGCTGGCAGCAGGAAGCTGGGGTAGGGCCCGGAGGCGCGCAGGCCCAACAGCGGAGCGGTGATTACAGGGACCTGTCCCTCCCGCCCCCGGCTCCCACTCTCATTAAGTCATTTTTTCCCCTGTTGGAAAGTCCCCGTGCCTTGAGCGCAGGGGTTGGGGCGACCGCAGGCAGCTGCCGGCAACCACATGAGAAGTGGGAGTGGGAGGGGAGGAGGGGGACCGCGACTAGGGCCTGGCCAAATTCCAACGTGGAAGGCCCCCTGCCGGGGGCTAGCTGGGGGCACCTTAATTCAGGGGAAGGAGGGGGAGGGCGAGGATACCGCTGACCTTGCTTCTCACCCACCGGGGCCCTCCTACAGCTGCCAAAGTCTCTATCTTTGCCTCTCCCCTTCTCTGTTTTCCAGCCCTGGGACCTTGGGCGACTGTAAAGCAGGATGACTGGGTTCTGAGCCCCACACCAATCTGGCTGCTTCTCCCTGACCCTAAACCCACCACTGCCTGCTGATCTGTCCTCCAGCCTCATTCTCTATTGGTTCCCTCCCTTCCTCCTGCTGGGGCTATCCAGGCTCCATTAGACCATATTATTTTTCCTCCTGCAAGAAGACTCAGTGTCCATCAAGGTGAAAGGTGTTGGGAGCGGAGATGGTCCCCTTCTCTTCTGAATGTTCTCTGGTCCACCTTCTGTTCTCATTTCCAAATCTCAGCCCTGGTCCTCTCTGAGCTGTCGGGAAGTTCTTCCTCCCATCTGGCTCCACTCTCCCACTTCATTTCAGCCCATTTCCCTGTTTGCAGTCAGCACATTGATTTCTGCCTCGCCCTTCAGCCCCTATGCATAAGCCCAGTGCCTCTTGGGCCCCATTTTCCCGCCCTCCATCACCTCCACATCTCCCTTTGGGGCCCTTACCAAATTCCACACAGCCCTGCCTGTTCAATTATGGGGTCCAGCTTCTGGCCCAGAGAGGATGGGGGCGGGCAACAGGCTATTTGTTCCATCCCCAACTTTTTTCTTTTCCTTTAGGTCAGATTAGCCTATGTCAGATCACCATGACTTGACTGGACTGGTGTCCAGCCCCCTGCCGCACCCCACCGCCCACCCCTCCTTCTAGAGGCAGCATGCTTGGCAGTGTGACAGCTCCTGCCTCCTGATCCCAGCCCTGATCCCGTATCCCCCATCTGCAGTCTCTCCTCCCCCAGCTGCCTTCCTTAAGCATGGAAGTCAGAGGAGGGTGAGGCCAAAGCTTATGCTGTAGTGGACACTGCTGGGGGTGGAAGTGCCCCCAAGGCCACAATTCTTCCCCTTCCCTCCTCCTCCTTGGGATGGCAGGGAACCCAGCCCCCACAGCCCTCTCCTGGGTGAACAAGAGGAAAGGAATGAGGCAGGTGTGTCTGGCTGCTCCTGCCTACCCCTCCTCCCTGGGGACTCTTACCTGCCTGCCTGCCTGCCTGTGGGGCTGTCTTTTGGGGGATGGGGAGAGAAACCCTGTGTTCCACAGAGGCAGAAGAGCTGAGCATGTGGAAGAAGGCCATGCTGCATTAAGCATGTCTGGGAGCTGCTGGGACACAGGCGTTGGAGGGGAGGGAGCTGAAGACAAGCTAGTGGGGTCATATCTCCTAGCTGGTGAGCCTTCAGGGATGCATCCTTTCCTTCTTATCCCTTCCCAGGGTTAGGGGGACATGAGATAGGCTAGGGGAATATGAGGGATTTTTGTAGGCTGGCAACTGGGGAGAGGAATAAAACTCCACCCTCGCCTGGTTGATCAAGAAAGGGGCCATTCTGGGGCAGATAGCAGGATCCCCAACTGTGAGCAGCAGGAGGCCTGGATGAAGTAGGTGAAGTGTTCTTTCCCCAGGATCCTGATCTCACCTTGCTCTCCACCACCCTCCTCCTTCTTGAGGGTCTGTTCCAGAAAAACATCAGATCTGAGCACCAAGGAAAGTGTGACACTGAACCAGTTCAGCAGTGTTTTCATGGGGGCATGAGGGTGGGGATGTGCATGCTGACCTGCCAAGGGCACCCTGAGTTGGGGATCTGGGGGTATAAGAGGCCCACGAAAGATGCCCCCCTCCCCCACCCCAGCCTTATATACCCCACTTCCCCTTCTTGGACTCAGAGAGACCAGAATCCAGACAGTGAGTCTCCTGGCCCTCCCCCGCCACCCTTCTCCCAGCCGCACCTCCTAGCCCCACCTGCTCCCTGGGGCACTGGGCTGGGTTGAGCTGGGTCTTGCCCAGGATTACTCCTCTCAGAGTGCCTTCTGTCTCTGCTGACGGGTGCTGCTGGGCACCGCCACTCGTCCTGGCTTGTGGCAGAGGGTTCAGACACAAGGTGGACTGCTAGAGCTCTGGCATCAAGGGCTCTTGATCCAGCCCCTTGTCAACATCCCCTGCCTCCACTCTATCCAGCCCAGGCCCCATCTCTGGTTTGGAAGATAGCTATAGTCTCCTAACTGGCTCCCCCGCTGTCAACTTGTCCCCCTTCGGCCAGTTCCCCATACAGTAATCCAGGTAGGAATCAGGCCATGACACTTGCCTGCTTAAAACCCTGTGAAGGTTTCCATTCCTCTTAAATATAAAATCCCGCCTCCTTACCCTGGCCTAGGACACATGATGTGACTCTTGCCCTGCACCCAGTTCCTCTCCTGCTAATCTGCCCCTTGCTTTCTTCACCCCAATCACACTGGCCTCTGCCATTCCTCATCAGAGCTCTTGTATTCACATGGCTTCTACCTGGAAAGCCCTCACCCCCAATCTGTGCATGCCTCTCCTCACCATGTGGCTCTCAAGAGTATCACAACTCCCAGAGGCCTCTCTGGAACAATCAATGGCTTTATCTAAAAGAGCCCCACTCCCCCAAATCACTCTACATCCAGCACTCTGCTTTATTTTCTGCATGACACACAACATTGTCTGAAATGAACTTGTTTGCGCATTTACTTATTTATTGTCCGTCGCCCCAGCCAGAATGTAAACTCCAAGAGGGCAGGTGCCGTCTCTCTTATTCACATCCCAGCACCCCTCATCCCCTGAAGAGTACCGGGCCACAAAGAGTGCAAAATAAATACTTGTTAATTGAATGGCGAGGGGCCGAGGCCTGTCGGGGAGGGTGCCTGGGGCCTCTCTAGAATCACTGCAGCTCAGTTATGTCCATTTCTTCTTTGTAATCCCCTTCCCCTTGCCCATCAGCTGATTCATTCCCTCGCACTCCAGGGGAAAGGGTGAAGGAATGAAAGGAGACAGGTTTGGGGCTGCCTGGCTGACACTTTCCAGGCAGAAGCCATGTCTGAGCAGTCTGAGCTTGGGACAGGGATGGGGAGGCAAGTCAGTCCTGGAGCCCACAGACGTGAGTGATGAGGTCTAGACCTTCCCAGGATTACAAACTTGACGACCCTTAGAACCGGGAGGTTCCTATAAGATCATGTGGTTCAACCTCCTCTCTCAGGAGCCAGGGCGACTCTGTCAAGATGGCAAGCAGCAGAGAAAGGGCCGGTGTCAGGAAGGGGAGCCCTCCGCTACTTGCAGACGCTGACCCACTCAGTGATGCGGCACTCCTCGCAGACCACGAAGCAGCACCAGTGGAAGCGGCAGTGGCAGCGCTCGCTGCGCGTCTGGCGCAGGATGTTGTGGCCGCGACCACAGCACATGCTGCCGCAGCCGTCGGGGCCTGCGCTGCTCTTGTTGCACAGGCGGCCCACGGTGCCAGCCGAGTCCAGGCGCGGCTCGCGCTCGCAGAAGTCGGGCGACTTTTCGAAATAGACCAGGTCTGCAGGGTTGGCCCGGCGGCGTGGCCCCGGAACGCCCGGGGCCGGAGAGGGCGCCCCCGCCGGGCCGGGCTCCAGCTGGCCGCTGTTGCGGTTGTGCGGCCTGATGAGCGTGGCGCGGTGGAAGCGGTTGCGCAGCAGCGCCCCCACCGCGCGGAACTCCGGCGTCACCTGCCAGCACGTCTTCAGCTGGCAGCTGCCTGACGTGCCGTGGCACTTGCACTTCCGCCGCATGTTCTCCATCACGGCCTGCAGAGGGAGGCACGGTGAGAGGTGACCCGCGGCAGCCCCACTGCCCTCCTTCCAACACGAGACACTGGCCTGCCCTGAGAGGGCCAGAGGCTTTCGAAACTAAAATGGAAAATGGGAATTGAACAGAGGCAAAAGCCGAGGCCCGAAACAGTTGGAGGGCGAGGGTGGCACGGCTCCTGAGCCATGCCGTCCAGAGAAGAAGTGGGCCTGCTTTTCTGCTCTCACATCCACCTCCCACCAGGCCCTGGGGGAATTCCCTCCTTCCTGCTCCCCTCCTCTCCTGCCCGCCTTTCCCAGCACCTGCAGGGGCCCCTTGGGGCTGGAGGCTCTTGCTTCCTGAGGGGGGATCCCAGATCCTCAGGGAAATTCCCTCTCCTTCCAGCCCTCGGTGGGGGCCAAGAGCAGGGGTTTGCTGGCCCTACTACATCCCAGCCCCAAAGCCTCTGGCCTTGCTCCAGGCTGTGAGTGGGGGTTTTGGGGAGTCTGAGAAAGCCCCTTTCCCCCTCTGGACCCTGAAACCATTTGCTGGGAGCCTAAAGAGGGGGGAGGGGTGGGGGAGAGACACCCCTCCCCCGTATACTGTCTGGGGCTTTTTGTGCCCACTGTGGAGCACCACAGTTCCTCCTAGGAAACAGTGAACACCAGCAGGGCCCAAAGGCTTTACCTGAGTACAGGATGGGAACAGAACACAAAGAGCCAGACCCTCCAACCCAGTGCAACTGGAGAGAGGTTCCCAGACCTCCAAAGGAGGTAGTTGAGGAACAGAACCTACCCACGCCCTGCCTGTCTCTGGAGTCTCCTCCCAAAGGAGCCGTTGGCTTTATTGTCGCCAGAGGACCCAGAGGGAGCTGACTACATCCTTCGCTCCCCCGTTCCACTTCAAAAACACTCCCTCTGACACTCCCTCCGACTGGGGAGCGATAATCTGGGGCCCTCCAACCTGGGCAGGAGAGCCATAAGAGAGAGACCCTGCTCCTCCAAGTTTTAAAGGGCTCGGCAGCCTGTATGTTGAGCCTGCGGTGTCAGCACCACGTGGGAACCAGCCCAAAGCCTCCCCTGGCCAACAGCTCCAGAACATCTGCTTCCCACAGGCAGCAGCCATTAATTAACCAGTTTAACGATGAGGAGGAGGCACTGTTGGTATGGGCTGGGATAGTATTGAAGCTTGGGAAAAGAGCTGCATGGATGGGGCAGGGCTGGGTGGGAGCTACACTTGACCTGAGGGTGGATATGCCTCAGTTTACTTCACCTCTAATGCAGAATGGAAGAGCTAAATCAGCTTGGTGTTTTTGTGGAACCAGCCTGGCTGAGAGGCCAGGAGAAAGGGGAGTGAGGTGGAGAAGGTGCAAGCCAGAGTGAGGGGAAGCCAAAACCAAGGCCTAAGCAGACTTGGCAGGGCAAGAGAAGGGGTGGGGTGGGGGCCAAATAGCCAGGAAAGGAGGGTACTGAGCTACCTTGAGGGCTAAGGAGGCACCTTAGTGTAGACATGCACATAGGGTAGATTACACTGTAAGCGAAAGGGCAGGGCCTCAGAGTCATCTGCCCAGGGATGAATCCTGACTCTACCACTTTCTCACTAGCTACATCACCTTGGGCCGGTAGTCTCTCTGTGCCTCAGTTTCCATATCTTAACCTGAGGTTCATTATAGTACCCTCAATAGGTAGTTGTATGGATTAAATAGACTAATACGTAGTAACGTGCTCCAAACATAAAAGTACCTAACATATAGTAAGCACTCAATAAATTCAGTTTATTATTACTTTCATTCTGTCTCTCTTTCAAATGAATGAAACCTTTGAGTGAGGTAGTATGAACATTTAAGGGTAGGGGAGACTGGGACACAGTTCCACAGAGGTTCCTAGGAACCTCACTTTGAGGAATTCCCCATTCTGCACAGAAAGGTTGGGAGAGGAGGGGGGGTCACGGCAGAGGAACCACAGAATCATGGAGCACTAGAGCCGATGGCCTTATGGATGACTCAGTTCAAATGTCTCACTTTATAGGGGAGGGGAGGCGGTGGCTGAGCCAGGACCCCTGAAGTATGACTGCAACCCTGTCTCTCAACGTCGTCCGGGAGGAAATGGGCAGAGCAGGCTGCTCTGCAGAGGGTCAGCTAATGGGGGCAGAGGTTGTTTCTACCCTCCATCCCCAGGTCTAATCAATTGCCTGGCACACAGTAGGTAGTCAATGCATGTTTGTTGACTGAATTAGGAGGGAGCAATGAGAAAGGTGATGAGTTAGGGGGAGGCATTGCCCCAGAGGAGAGGCAAGGGGGGGAAGGAGAGGGGCCCTTGGCGGAGGGATTTGGAGCAAAGGAAGGGGGTGGGGAGGTTGGCTCTCACCTGCCTTCCTACTCGGTTGTTGTGGAGCCTCATGCGCGCGTGGATGTCTCTGTGAGGCTCCCGGGAGTCCAGAAAGTCCTTAGAGAAGCGCTCTCCAAAGCCCACGTCGGGGCTACAGCCGCCCCACTCCCAGGAGTCCTGCAGGCCAGGGCTGGCAGGGGGCAGGGCTGGGTGCTCGGGAACCCCGTGGCTAAGGCCCTTACCGCGCTGCAGCGCGTCCAGCTGCAGGCGATGCAGCTTCCGACGGAAGGCCTCTTCATCCCCGCGCCGGGACGCGTCACAGCCGCATGCCCGCAGCTTGCCCAGGGCGCACGCATTGGAAACCGCGTGCACTACGCCGGCTGCGGCGATGGCGTAGGCGAAGGCACTCTCTCGGAAACCTGCAGGTAGAGATCCAGGAGACTTAGGCTCTGAGCGGCCTTGACAGTCCATCCTTCTGCCTTCCCTACGCAATCTTCCCACCATACAGAAGGGAAACGGAAGCCCAGTGTTGGGGGAAGGGTGTTACAGGGCACAAAGTCAAAGGGGGTCAGAAATCACACCAGAAGTTCTGCACAGGGGATGGGGGGGGGGGCG